GACCCTTTCACAGGGGTTGCTTAAGACCGTCAGAAAACAAAAAGATATTTACATTATGATTCATAACAGTAGCAAAATTACAGTTATAGAGTAGCAACAAAAATAATTTTATGGTTGGGGATCACCACAACGTGAGGAACTATATTAAGGGGTCGCGGCATTAGGAAGGTTGAGAACCGCTGCGCTAAATGGTTGCAGGTCCCTTTGTGGATGGCTAGGAGTCAGGCTAACAGCGTAAATTTTTGGCTGTGTGACAGAGCCCTTCCTCAAAGGAACTCAGCCTCCCTTTCAAAGGGCTCTAATATGAACTGGCTTGAGTCTGGGAATTGGGGAGGGGGGCAGGAATGACCCGTTATTGTGATGATTGAAGTCAGAATTTTGTTCATCAGACCTAGATAGAGTGTTTCCATTTATACAAATCAAAGAAGGCTTTAGTAGGCTGCCCATCTATCCAGTTCTAGGGTCACCGTGATTAACTAGACAATGCCAGAGATCTCTGTGCTTCAGATGAATCTAATTACTACTTCAGCTCTGCTGCCTGTTAGGTAACATGCCAGTCTTGGCCTTGGCTACTAAGTGGACTCCGTTCAATGGCAGCAGTTTCTCTTGACGTTTCAGGCCGAAGCTACTATATGGCTTCTCAAGGATGTAGGGTCCCTCACAAAGTGTTTCTCACAGCCTTGGTGAGGGGAGTGTCCACCAGACGCACTCCCAGCAGGAATGCATATGTATGTTCATGAAAAGACATGTACAAGAAAGTCCATAGCAGCATTTTTGTAGTCATCTAAAGTTGTATACTACTCATATGTCCACTAGAGAAGAAGGATTGAGTAGATAAAGATATATGCATGTAATGGAATACTATATAAAGCAATAAGAATGCAGGGATTAAAACTACATGCAAAAATATGGATGAATCTCACAAACATGATGTGGAGTGAAAGAAACCTCATGAAAAGACTGGATGCTGTTTAATTCTATATCATTTGCAAAAACAGGCAAAACTAATATGTGATGGGAAAGTGATTACCTTTGCTGGGACTAATGACAAAAGGTAGCACCAGGCGTCCCTGGGCTATTGCTGATGTTCTTTTTCTTGATCCCGGTGCTGGTACACAGGTGTTTTCACTTTGTGAAACTCATGGAGCTGTACACTTTAAGCTTTGTGCCCTTTTCTGTGGGTCCCTTATACCTCAGTAGAATTAACCAAACAACCAGACCTGGAGTACGAGGAGACACAGCTTTACCAAGAATCTAGAGACCTTTGTAAATAATTGATAGTCAGCTCTTGCAGAAATGCTGACATTTTCAAATTGTGGGATTTGGGTAAATGAAAGTATCTGTTCATGATAGTTAATATTGCTGAAAGTGATTATGTTCCTAGCTTGTTAAGCAAAACCACATGGGCCACAGAAAGAAAGCTGTCGGTCAGCGGCAGAGTTAGGTGGAACCTGTGCATGATGAAGACGATTTTAGGAAAGCGGTGGGACAGCTCTTAGACTGCTCTAGCTGTTTTGGTTTGGTACCATGTGTCCTTTATGTGATAGGTTTTGACCATTTTGAAGGAAGCATGAAACTTCTGTGTGTGGAATAGCATTCAGTAAATAAACACCAAACGTCTCCGTATGTGTCCCATGCACATACGCCACCACTTACCGCTTCCAGAGATCTGAACACCATTGTTGATGGCATTGTTTTTTCTATAAGGCTTCGCTTGGCGCACGATCGTTCCGGTGAAAGGTGCATACACAGTAGATCCATCAGAGCACAAGACATCCACACCCCGATGGGTCCTGCTGCCTCTGGGGTGTAGATAAGAATGAACAGGCTGAGGAACTTCCCTGGGAGCCTTATTCCCAGGAATGTGCTGTTAGCCCTCTGTTCCCAGAACAGGATTCAAACATGGAAGCTGCTAGAACATGTTGGGATGTCTCAGGGTTCCTCACTCTGTTTCACCCAATTTTAACCTCCTTCCCTGAAGGTAGTAACAACCATGTTGTAAAGATTAAAGCATTTAAGATGGTATTTGGTACTTGGGAGGCCTTTAAAAAGTATTAGCTATTATTATATGGCATTTTGGGGAAACAAGGCAATCCATATTGTCAATTTTATAGGTACCTGAATTTTGACCCCTTCACAGGCCACTTAGAAAAGAGTTGTCTTTCTATGGGAGCCTATCATAAAAGAATCATATGTTACCCTAGTCTTATTTTTCACTCAGTGATCCAGAAGTTATTATAAACATCATTTACTGTATATGCTGTTTTAACACAGTGAGTGATACCGCCTGGGTTTATTGAAGTATATGGAGCACATACACAAAATGACCCCAGATTGTGCGATTTCTTGAGGTTATCTCTAGCAATCCCTACTGTTGCCACTATGCCCCCTCTTTCCAGCCTCTTCTCCTTTCTACTCACCTACTACCTGAAAAATTAGATTCACCAGGATTGTTAGAGTTATGTGTAAAGCAACATTGAAAGCAGGTTCCAAGTGAAGAGCCAACAAGTTATTGTATAAATCAAGTGCATAAACTTCAGGGTATGTACGAATTGAGTCTTAATTTTGGCAATTCAGAGATCATTTTTTCGTATTTCGCATCTCTTAGGTATATCTCCAGGTATTTGAGGTTGCATCGTAAGTAGTATCTGTATAAGTAAGAGTTCCACTAACTTAGGAGGGAGATCAATAATGCAATTGGGCACGTGGCTATGTCATCAGAGAGTGGTATTCCCAAGGTGGTCTGTGCGTTACTGAAAATTCACGATTGTGCCCGTCGTCGTCTGGAAGAAATTGCCTGCACTGGGCCAGCCTCTGGCGGTCAGCCCCCAGAGCCTGGGTCAGTAAACTATGGGTGGTTTCATGGGAAGAGGATCCGAAAGCCTGAATCCTAGTCCAGCCTTTACCCCCTCCAGCGTGTTTGGTAGGTAGGTCCCTTAACCTTTTGGTACATCAGTTCAAGTTCCTCATCTGTAAAATGGGACAGTAGTATTTGATTTTCAGTGAGATAAGTCAATGTGTGAAAACACTGAGAGGGAAAATACTATGTTGGCAGCTTTTCTCTTTTCTTTAGTCCCTGCTTTCTTCCCAATTCAGAGCCTATACTTAAAGCAGAGTTCTTGGAAATTGCTCCAAAGGCAGTAATGCAACTGGTTTCATTTCTGAGTTTTCCTGCTGTCAGAGGAAGATGCTCATGAGCACTTGAGGAAACACAGGGCAAGGACACTAAACAAAGAGGTGAAGAGCCCAAAGAACTTATGGTTATTTGTGAAACCCCATACCTTCTAGCACCGTAATGGCCACAGCCATATCTGTCACACGTCCTGATCTCATTGGAAGACTTGCCAGCACACATAGTAGCCCACGGGCCAGCCTCCGCTAAAAAGGAGAAACATGAGAAGAGATTTCCTAACCTCACATATTTCCAGTCTCCACTTGCCTTATAAGTCTCCCAGAGGATTCTGAAAATCCTGCTTTAACTATCGTTTTTTCCCCAACTTTCTGTAGTTCATGGGAAGGTTTTACTTTAACTCCTGATTCAGATGTAAAATTTTTCCCTGGCCACAAATACATACGGAGTATTTGTAAATGTGTCTATATATTAGGATTAACTTCCATCCTTATAGTTTCAGTGGTATAAATTGCACTTTTTCAATTTTCTTTGTTCATTGCTTGGCAAGAGGATCACTGTTTAGGTTAAGGGAAATGATCAAACAGCATCATTTCAGACTCAAAGAAGTAGCTCCAGAAATTCGAAAGTAACTTGGAAATGTTTCCTTATCGTAGCCCTAATAATCAAATCCAAGAAAATGTTGGAATTAAAGGAGAAACAAACTCTGAGCTAGCAAAGTTTCTTTAACACTAAATAAATCTATTAGCAAACATGGAAGAGGGAGATTCTTAGAAATAAGAACATGTCAAACCAATTTAGGCTAGAGTGGAGAAGAGAAGGTGGGGAAGGGAGTAGCAACAAGTACATAAAGAATCATGAAGCAGTAAAACATGGAGGAGGGAGCAGGCTCTCTCTGTATTTTCTGCAAACTTTGTTTTAAGGGCAACTTCTCTTTAATAGAGTAAGCAGTTGATAAATGTTCGATTGAATTCAATTTCCCGGATTTCCAATGTTAGCTTTCACAGAGAGATGCAGTTAGCAAAATCATCCTTTCACTTCAAACAAACAAAAACAGAAGCGAAAACCAGAACCTGTGTATTCTATTGTTGATTTCATTTAACAATATTTTACTATGCATTACTGTATGTGCTATGAAGAGAAGCTGCAGCCTATGCCTGTTAAGCAAATTAAAGAAACTTCTAAAAGATGAGTTTCAAAAGTCTGATACGTTAGCACCAAGCTTGAAGTCAACACGTTGATCGAGATATACTATTGTCACTTTGGCAAGTAATATTTATCTTTGGGAATTGGGGCATATACTAGACAATTTATTAATTTATCCAATTTTCTCTCCCACTGTGACTATGAAAGGACTGTTCCCCTTGTCGTAACCCACACCAGTCTCTGTTATCAGGGTTTTTTCTAAATCAGATACATACACAAACTTTTTATTTTCTAATTATGTTCCAATTTAAGCCCTAGACCAAGATTGGGTCTTCCACTTTCATTTCTTTCCTTCAAGAGCCAGAATATCCAAGTGGAAAACATTGTATCCTTTCTGTTCCATTTTTAGTAACCAAAGCACACGTTTGGGCTATGCTTGTGCTACTAATGACTTTTAAATCTATCCTTGAAATAAGATTTTAAAAATTAGCCAAGATTCTAAAATTGTATTTTTTACTTACCAGTCGAAATCAAAACAGTCAAAAGGAAGACTCCTGTGGAAAACATTTCGCTTTTATTTCCCTTTGACGTTTCTTCCTCTGATAAGTATAATTGCTCCACACTCTCCCTGGAGAATACCCAAGTTTGAATAAATATTTTCTATCTATGTAGCCTTAGAATGCTGCATCTCTCATTTTTTTAGTATAAAACAAAAAAATATGAGACTAGAGGAAGTCAAATTGTAATACTCCGTGGGTAGCTATTGGGTTCACATGTAGGACCTATATAAAGGCTTTTGAACTGAAGAAGCTGATTTTATTGGAAATGCTGGCTAAATATTAACAGTGATAAGCCTAGGTGAAGAGTGTCCTCAGGGCTGTGGTTTCGTGAATAGCTGCATATATAGTAAAATTACAAAAATATGCACAGACTAACTTTAGGATAATAGTTACCTATGAGGAGGAAGGGAAATAGAATTGTGGAGGGCTATACAGAGGGCTTAAACTCTAAAATACTTTATAAAAAATCTGAAGTAAATATATAAAAGTATTTGTTAATTATTGGAGGTAAATCTATGGGTATTTGTTGTATTGCTCTCTGTACATTTCTGTATATGTCAAACATACTTGTATATTAGCATCTCCTTCTTTCTATGCTTCTCTCTAGCAGATGAGGACCTGGAGTTTTCTGTGCAAACACCCGCATTTCAGTAATTTGTCAGTAACCGCGGGAAACTGAAGTTGTGGCCCCAGTTCTTCACCCTCACCGCATCCGTATCCTTCCTGTATCTCATAAGGACAGTGAGGGGCTCTCCTAACCTTTGATTTGTGGCTCAGCTATATGATGCGCTTTGACCAATAAAACGAGGCAGAAGTGCCAGACAGCACATCAGCAGAGTCTGAGCCCTGTGCGGCCTTGGTCTTTCAATTCACCATCTGTGTTCTGCCATCTTTGTTAGGAGAGCATTCTCACACTAACCTGCTCACCCCAGGAGGACAATGACAGACACGTGGAGCAGAGTCACCCTCGCCAAGCCTCCCCAGCTGAAGCCAGCCTAGCACACCCCTTAGTTTACATAGAAAGCCCCCAGCGTTCAGAATGATTAAACACAACAAGCTCCATTGTGTTTAAGGAGATATTAAGAGAACTATAGCAAATAGGAGCCAGCTCACTGGTTTGTTCTGAATGAGGCTGGCTTACGTCCCATTTGAAGTGGTGTCCCAGGGCCAGACGGCACTGTCATTGTTCCTTGTGTGTAATTAGTGATTGTAAGGGATGTTCAGATGACTGCTACAGGTTAGAGATCCTTTGATTAGAAATGCTGATCTGTTAATTGACACCTTTGAATGAGATCTTTATCCTCGCTGAGGTGTACTTCCTCATAAAGAAATATATGTGGAAGTACCATTATTCGTTAGGCCACAGTTACTGAAGGGCATTTAACTTTTGCAAGACACACTCAGCTATCAACATTCTAAGTCCACTTCTCATGTGTCCCCATGCCTCGTGCCGTGACTGCTTTATTTTTCTTAGCACTTGCACCAGTGGTGGAGAGGGCCTGGAAGAGGAGGAGAAATTCACATTGGCTGTAATTCAAGTTTGATGACAGTGGTGATAAACACTATTTTTCCTATATCAAGACTAACTAAAAGTTACTTGCCTCTTTCAGCACATCATTCTCATCTGTTTTTAGAAAAGCTTGTATTGAAATAGTGTAGTAGAGCTCACCCAACTGCAAGGCTGCATTGTTTCTTCCTGTGTTATCCCTGCTTCTTTGTAACTCTGTCTTCTGTTTTCAACAAGGTAACTAATGAGCTCGTGCTGAAATCAGAGTGAGAAGGCTGGCCACATTCCATGAGTTCTAAGCAAGTTGTTTCTGATATGTTAACATTTTGTGTTTGTCCTAGTTCATTTAGGCTGCTATAACAAAATGCCATTGGCTGGGTTGCTTATAAACAAAAGAAATTAATTTCATATAGCTCTAGGGGCTGGAAGTCCAAGGTCAGGGTGCTAGCACGGTCGGTTCCTGGTGAGGGCCCTCTGCCAGGGTGCAGACTGCTGGCTTCTCATTGTGTCCACAGACAGATGGGGGAAGGAGGCTCGCTGGAGCTCCATGGGTCTCTCTTACAAGGGCACTAATCCCATTCATGAGGGCTCCACCCTCATGACCTAAGCACCTTCCAAAGGACCCACCTTCTAACACCATCACATTGGCATTGGGATTTCAACATAGGATTTTTGGGGGGACACAAGCATTCAAACCATAGCAGTGTTGATTACTATTAAATCATAAATAGAAAACAGTGGAGAGAAACTATTTGATAGAGATGGCAAAGTTATAAATTTGAAGGTGATCTCCCAGCCTAGCGTCCTATTCTCCCCCAGATTAAAAATACAACATTTATAGGACAAAAGTTTTAGAGATGTAATAAAATTTGAATGAAATTAGCTAGAAGAGGAAAAGGTTGTGGGAACCCTGTCCACATACACAGCTATAATACATATTGTGTGGAATAAATACACTATATCACTTGGAGTCACTGAATTTGTGCAACTAGTCTCAGCTTTTATTGAGTCGACACACAGGTTCAAGATTAGTTAAACAACTACTACCACCACTTATATGCTACGAGTTGAAGTGGATGTCTTCAGTGTAAGGAACATAGGATAAAGAAAAATTAGGCTCAGTACTAGGATGATGAGAAAGCTTCTACTGCCAACCCCCAACACAAAGCCTCGATAAATGTTCACGGAATTAATTTGAACCAAACTACCTGCCCATCAGTGTAAAACTAGCCACTTTGCTTTCTAGTTTAAGAGAGATTGACAAGCTCTATAAACCTAGCGTGTGTTAGAATGAAAAAGACTGGGGAATTCCTATATACTTTTTGTAGTGTTAGTTACTCCTTTGCATGAATACTATATGGGGCAGTCTTCCCGAAATGCTTTCAGTTAAAATCAGAGCTGATGTTTGTCTGACTGTTGCTTTCATTTGGCAAGGGCAGTGCGCTAATGAGGCCAGTGTCATAAAGGTGATCCCTTGGTGGGTCAGTTACCTCTTCCTGGCCGAGAACCCCAGAGAGGCCTTGACCCTGGCCTGGCATCTCACAGATGTCAGGGACTTGTCCACCGAAGTGCTGAAGCAGAGCACATCAAGGAATTAGAACAAACTTATTCCTGCTCATGGGCTGATGGCTTCCTGCTCGTCTACTAGAAAGTGGAATTGGATGTAAGCCTTAGTCTGTTTCCAGTGTCCTGTGGCTGGACTAGGTAACTGACACCCTGAGAAGATCTCATTAAAGATGACCTTGTTTGTGGGCAGATTCTGGCAGCCCGTATGTCATGTTTAATGTGGGATGTGTACTCCAAAGGGACTCTGAGGTCCTTGTCCTGCTTCTGAGACCCTTTGTCTATTGGAGATAAATGTTGAAGATGTTTGCACCTATGGTATGTGTAGGCAGATATCTTTCCTTGCCAATTGTCTCCCCGATTCTCTTCTCTCTGATCAGACATAACGCCAAAGAAAACTTGATTTTCTTCTCTTAAGGCTAATTGTGTCCTTTTGTTGATAATTTCCTTATTGATTTTTAAGAAGTAACTATTTTTGTCCTGTTACATGTAATACATTCTTACTACCAAAATTACCCCAAAATTTCAACAACGAAAAAAGTATAAAACCAATTTTCCATGAACATTTTGGGTGTATCTCTTTCTCTTTATTTTTATCTGGCCTCTCTTGTCAGGAAAATATCCATGTTTTACTAAATAGGTACTATCTTCAATTGAGCATAGCACTAAAAGTTAAATGCAAGAAAAGACTAAGGGCTTTAATAGAACACTAGATAACAGAAGAATGAAAGTGTTGGGTATGTCTGAATGCTTCCATTTGGGTAAAATTTACATGAAACCATTTTGGTTTTCCTCAGCTATAGGAATAGTAGGTGAAAGGGAGTGGACATCATTTCTTCAATGTCTTTGATCTTTGGTTTGATCTGTGATGTGGAGGCCTCATGCTTTGCAGAGTTGTTGGCCTGGGTGACCTGACTAAACACCTGGCCTCCCTCCTCTCTCCTCCTGTGTTTCACTGGAACAAACCTACCTGGAAGCAGCAGGCTATGTTAAGCTGCTGATTTATTAACCAAATGCATTCAGGAACCTGTATGACTTCCAGAACCAGTCTACTGAAGTCTGCCTAGTCATGATGAGAGCCAAGAAGGCATTCAATACACATGTTTAGGCTGGTGGAAGCCAGAGTTTAATGATGAGTCTGCACTTGGTACCTTCCATGATTTGGAAATGCTAAATAAACATTTAAATCATGCATTCTACCTGCCCTAACCTGCACTCTCCGCCCCCACCAAAAAAAACATCCTCTGTGCTGACAAAGAAAGAATGGGAATAAGTATGAGTCACCACTGCTGTGGGAGGTGAAATAAGCAAGGGAATGGGATTTGATTACAAAAATAATTTTAATGTGGGGAATTGTTTCTAAGTTTTCTAACATATGGGGTAGTTGACTTATCCTAGAAGACAGGAACCTAAAGAAGCATTTTCTAATAAGCCATTTCTGTTTTCATTGCTGGAGTAATGGAGAGAACAGATCAGCATTCTTACACAGGAGCACTGGGTTTGATTTGCTTTAAATTAAATTGTAAACTACTGAAGGTGAAGGTTCACATTCTCTTTATGAAATGTGGACACTCAGTACAACTTGGTATCATGTCTAATACAGCACTTGGAGGTTAGAGAGATGTGGCCAGGAGGCTTTCTAGCTAGAGACCCCTGAGAGTGTTATCTAAGTCAGAGTGATAAATACACAGTGCACATGAGGTCTGACAATTAAGTTTGTGAACTCATCCTAGGAAAAGTGCTACATACCTCATTGCTGAATATCACTACAGCCACTTTCGAAGTACTCCCCTTGGGAAGCTATGCACCAATGCCAACGCCTAGTCCACCCTTTAAAGCAATTTTGGAACTCTTTTTCAGTGGCCATCAGAGCTGTTGTCATTACCCTTAATGTCCTGAGTGTCATCCAAATGTCTTCCTTTCAATATCTCCCTTATCTTCGGGTTAAGAAAGAAGTCATTGGGGGCCAGATCAGGTGAGTAGGCAACTGTTACTTGTTCACTGACTAAAAACTCCCTCTCAGACAGTGCTGTGTGAGCTGGTGCATTGTCGTGGTTCAAGAGCCATAAATTACTGGCATAAAGTTCAGGTCATTTTTGTCTAACTTTTTCACTCAGCCTTTTCAGCACTTGCAAGCAGTAAACTTGGTTTACTG